GCGGAACAGGTTTCACCATTTCTTGCCTTTAACACTACAACAGCGTGAGTTATTTTTTCTATAACATATGGTCCTTCAAATCGTGGAAAAAATTTGGCAGTTTTATCTTCTGGTGCTGAAGAAAGTGAATGCTTAATTTTTAAGTACTTCATCCCCTACTTTATAAGTTACTCCCCGTCGTTTCAAGTCATAATACAATTTTGTTTTCTTTGTGCTACTTCCGTATTCTTTTTTGCTTCTTTTATTAGTTTTTTCTATATCACCCATTTTAAATTCTGGGGCTCTTTGTTGCACATAAAATAGTTTATCTAACGGTGTTATAATCTTTCTGCCTAGAAATAACTCAGCAGGAGTTTTGCCCGTTGTATCATGTTTTGCGGTCCTAAGGGCGAAAGCAAATTCATTGACATAGTTATCCCAGCTTTTATGAAAATTTTTAACATAATTTTAAATTTTTAATAACTACGGATAATTTTCACTATATTTCTGTTGACCCGTTCCGCTATATTTGATTGCGGCCGATACGGGACCATTTTTAAATGACGTATGCCCAGTTTTTGGCACATGTCTTCAAATATATTACTTACAAATTGAGGACCATTATCCGATATAACTTTTAGGGGCGCCCCGTATTTTAAAATATATTTATTTAAAATAGAATCAGTAACTAATTTCGCGGAGGCTCGTTTTAAGGGAACAATTTCGGTCCATTTACTAAAATGATCAACCATAACAAGGAGATAGCGACTTTTATTTAACTGACTTTTTGGGAAAGGGCCCAATAAATCGATGCCAATTATTTCATTTGGAAATTCGGATTTAATACTATTTAGAAACCCGGCCGGGCGGAAATTAATATAATTAACGGCTTGACATGTTGGGCAGGACTGGACATACGCCCTTGTTAACTTTTGCAGTTCAGGAAAGTAGACTGCCTCGCGTACGCGTTGGATAGTTTTTCGAATACCAGCATGAGAAGCTAAAGGGCTGTCATGGAGCTCTTGCAGGATATTTAATCTAAGACTAGCTGGGATAACAGGTCGAAATTCGTTGTTGGAATTCGTAGTTTTTGTATAAAATAATAGACCATCTATTAGTTCGTAATGGGCCGCCCTATTTCTTATCGCCACAATATCTTGGTGGCTAAAATTTTCAGGATCCTTCAAATACTCATAAATACTTCCAAACTCAGGATCCTTACCCAGTTCGGTTATTACAGTTTCTCGGGAATTTATTGTACACGCTGTCAGCATTGCAACTTTTACGGTATTACCCTGTTCGTCTAATTTAATTCGTGATAGGGCATCTGCTACGATATTTTCCTTTCCGGGGGTATGCTTGATTACCAGATTATATTCTATTCTTGCAGCTTGAGTGCCCATCTTATTAACCTTGGGGATAAATTTTTCCCTGAGTACAATCTAGTTACCGCCGCATGATCAGAAGTATACTGTTATCGGCGCCTTTCCAAAATAGACTCGGAACTTTTGCACTGCTAACAGAACTGCAAGTGCCTCTCTCTCGGTCGCGGAATAGTTTCTTTGTGTTTGATTTAAAGTTCGGCTAAAAAATGCCACGGGCTGCTGATTTTGCGAAAGTACCGCTCCTACCGCATAATCCGAAGCATCCGCTGAAATTTCTAAATTTTCATCCTTTTCAGGAAATTTCAACACAGGGGCTTGCGTTAATGCTTGTTTTAATTTTTCGAAAGCACTATTGGCTTCGGCCGTCCACGAGAATCTTGCCTTTTTCCTTTTTAATTTTAACAATGGCTCAGCGATAGCCGCAAAATCTTTTATAAAGGACCTATAATATGAACAAAGTCCTAGAAAAGAAGAGAGCTTCTTTGCCGTGTTTGGAGTCGGATACTTTTGTACAGCGATTATTTTTGATTCATCTGTCTCGATCCCTTTTTGCGATATTTTGTAACCTAAATATTTTAATTCAGGGGCTGCAAATTTGCACTTTTCGACATTAACTTTTAGACCGGCCTCATTTAATAAAGAAAACACCTGTCTTAAATCCTGTACATGTTGGTCGAGATTATCACTAGTATAATAATGATATCGTCTAAATAGATAAATGTGGACTTTCCAAGAACAGGTCTTAACACAATGTCCATGCATCGCTGAAATGTTGCTGGGGGCGCCTGAAAGGCCAAACGGCATACGCAAAAATGCATAAGTGCCAGACTTGGTTATAAAAGCAGTCTTAGGCACGTCCTCAGGCCTGACCCCTATTTGAAAATAACCATTCGTTAAGTCTAAAGTCGTCATAAATTTGGTTGATTTTATGTTCCTTAAAATTTCTTCTATAATCGGTAACGGATATACCGGATATTTCGTTATGGAATTTAATTTACGGTAATCAATAGCGAATCTCCACCTTTTTGGATGCTCCAAAGGATAATCATTATTTTTCTTACATAAAACCACCGGGCTAGCATAACTACTTGAGATGGGCGTTATGATCTTTTTACGTAGCATATCGGTAATATGCCATTCTATAATTTTTTCCTTATTCTTATCATACCGGTATGGTTTTTGACGAACCGGCAATGCATCTCCGGTGTCAATACTATGGTTAGTAACCTGAGTAAATCCTGGAATATCACTAAATAACGAAGCAAATTCACTTACCACTTGTCGGATTCTATCTTGCTCGTCATTAGGCAGGTGGTCAAGATTTAACCTTGGCGGTTCAACCTTTTCTACACGCACTGGTTTCATTCGTCAGCTTAAGGGACGCTTCATTAAAATCCAGTGTAGCTTGTGCGTCTGAAAGAAAAGTCTATTCCTAGGATTAAATGTGCTTGCAAGATTCTTTACTATAAAAAACATCACCTTTACTTGTTCGTCCTTGATACGGATGTATAAAGGTACTTTACCTACGCACTTACATTTTCTCCTTGCGCCGCTAATACTGTCGTATTATCCGCATTATATATGCGGTATTTGCGAAAATACTTTCTAAAAAAGACTTCTGCCACACAGGAACACTGCGCGCCGGTATCCAGGAGTGCGGTGGCCGGGATATTATTTACCAAGACTTCAATCTTCGGAAGAGTTAAATTTTTCACCATTACTGTATTTAACTTGTAGGAAGAGGGGTTTTCGTGGCCTTCGGATTTCCGCACCCTCTCTCGTCAGCAGAAATCCGTTTTAGTTTAAATTATTTTTTCCTTTCCGTGCTTTCCTTCTTTTTCCACTGGCCTTGAGACTTTTTTCCTGGGTTGCTATTGAACTGTCGACGTTCGCCGGCTGTTTTTTGAATGCTCGGGTTTCCTTGCCCACTGATTCGCTTTTTCTCCGTAGCCATGTGCTTGAGTTTGCTGTAGTCTTGGCGTACCAAATTGGTTTCGCTGTTGATATTGGCGTCTTCTTTCGACGTCCGCCGTTCTTCTACTTTCAAACTGGATTGCTAGCTCAAATAACTTTTCCAGTGTAGTCGGATTTCTTCAATTCAATAAAGTCTTGCACTTGGGGTAGTAACCTCGGCAAAATCACTTGAATTATTTCAGGATCCGGACGGTTTCCATACAAGAGCTTGAAAACGTGAATTTTTCTTAAAATAAAGCTCGAGAGGTTTTCGATTCTTTGTTGATATATACTGAAAAGTTCCTGTTTCTAATTTCGCACGATCCCTTACAACAGGGAAGGCTTTTAGTAGGGCAGTCTTGAAATTTTCGTAAGTATAGGTGGGACTTCCTGCTTGACCCAAGAGACTTCTGCCGATACATTTGAACCAGTTAAGCGCTTGGCCCCTCAAAGCGCTGGTAGCTAAGGTAACTTTTTGAAACTCGTGCACGGGGTAGAGCATGAAGTGGTCATCCAATTTTTCCAAAAAACTGGTTACCGGTGAGTTTCCATTAAACGTTGCTTCTGGTTTCATCGAAGCGCGCATGGTCTGGACGATGTAACCCAAATCCTTCCAGGGCGGCAGCTGGCATTTCTGGATTCTGAGCCGTTTCTGCAGGCAGCACAGGTTCTTCTTGAAACTCGGCCATGGTTATTCTTCTTCGTCGGGCGCCACTATCAGGTTCAATGTTTCTTCTTCTAACCTTCTTCGGAAACATACAATGACCTGACTAGGAACAGAGAGCTTACTAAAGCTATGTTCACTAATTGTAGTAAGTAGACAGGATACAGACGAAGGGTATACAAAACCCTTTATTTTTTTTCTTTATATACAATGACTTCCGTACTTCGGAATACAATGACCCTCCACTCGGGGTCTAACGTAAAAGGTATAAAAAATAAAACTAAACTCTAATTTAACTTTAGAATAAAACGTGGAAGATTGGCCTTATAATAACAGGAAGCGTATGTAGCACAGAGACTGTGAACACTACAATACGTTTAAAATTTATCAAGAGGATTAAAACCTCTGGCCTGGAAGGCAAATAGCAACTGCGTAACTTCTAAGGTAAGCGGCCTGCTTCGAACTCACTGCTTCCTCTCCTTTGCTTGGCAAAAAGGCCACACTTAAATACTTGGCGTTCGCCAGACAAACTTTGCATAAAATCCTTCCCGCTTATAATTCTGGCCGGAAGTAGAAAATAAGAAGTGATAGTAAAGATTTAAAATAAAATAAACGTTAGTAAAACTTAAGATCCTTACAGTATAAATTTTGACAAAAGTGTTTTAATCAAATATAAATGCATTCTTGAACGAACAGAAATAGTTTTATTCTATTTCAAAATTTATTTTTAAATATGTGTTATGTTATATACCTTGAATTTTGATAATTATTCTTTAGACTGTCTTAAATTTTCTTGCATATTTCTTGCAGTATTTTTTTTTAAATCAAAAATGATGCATGTAATTTATTTTGGTAATTCTGAAGCTTAATTGAAGTAATTTTAATTTTATAATAAATATCCTGCCTGTGTTTTACTTTTTCAAAGAAATATAATTTAAATATTGATTAAAGTTTTTAATGCCCTTTAAATCATTTCTGATTCAAATAATTTTTATCAGTAAACTTTAAAATTTTTTTAGACTAATAGGACTGCCATTCAGTGCTTTTCAAGATATCAAAGTCATGTAAATAAAAATTTTGTGAAAAGGTAAGTTTCAAACAAAGTCATTTCACGTTTCCTTTTTTCTTGCACATTGACCTTGGTTTTTAATTACTTGTATTATTAAGTAAAGAAATGTATTCCGTAAACTAGGAGTATATATTGGCATTAATTTAGTGTGAATTTTAATGATAATGAATATTTTAGCTGTTCAATGAAACATGAGTGCAAATAATCATAACATTTATGTTTGTCTGTTGAAATGGCTAGGCTTTTTCTGTTTTCAATTCAACGTAACAAACATAGATCTATACTAAAAGGACTAAAAATGCAATTTTTTCCCACTCATTATTCAGTCTTGAGGGAAAAAATTTGTTGTATCTGGAAGCACTGGATCAGTCAGTTTTGTAATCCCTTTTAAAATATGTTTTTAAATATTTTTTTAAAATTTCCTTTAAATAAAACCAGATAAAAATATTAAAGCAGTTTTGCAACTTTTTTTAAAGGACAACTGTATTTTTCTCAAGCTTATGAATAGGTTCAAATTGATGTAATTATAATTATTACTCCAAAGGGGCAATTTGCCCTGAAGGACTATTAATTTTGTTTTGGCATTTTGTGTCAAAAACATTAAAAGGCTGTATCACTTTTCATGTTGTTGCCACCATGTATTATCACCCTGGCTTATATTTAACAAAATTAAATAATGAAGAATCTGCATAAATGTATGAGTGTTTCTTGCATTGTAATAAAACAACGGTACCTCAAAATTTGAGTAACGTAATTTTCCATAGAATATAGAGATGTGGAAGCCTTAATTTGAATTTGAAATCTGTTTAATTATCAACTTCATATTTTGTAACACTTTAATGAATTTTTATTAACAAACTAAACGATTTCGAATCAAGCAATGGCAACACTACGAAAAAAAAACATTTTTATTTCCAGCGTGCGAAATTCTGTATCGGAAATTCTAAAGATATGCTCATTTTAAAATTAATTTGTGATATTGCAGTTGAACTGAATTTTATAGTTTGAGTATGTAGAACATAATATTTAATAAATAAAGGTAACACACAAAACGCTAAAACAATTCCTCTTTGGATGTAATTTAAAATCTGAAACCTTTCAGATTTTTCCCCCCCTTTAAACATTTGTACACAGCTTTCTTGAATGATGATTGTGCTCCTGTTCAAAGATTTAAAATTTTCAGCCAGTTTCTCAAAATGTTATCCTTAAACTGGTGTATATTCATATGTCTGAATTAGAAGTATTTTGTTGCGAATCTGTATAATTTGTAGCTTAAAAATGTTGTAAACATACATATACACTTTCTGGTTCCTAAAATTTACTGATTCCTAATGCAGTTTTAAAAATTCAGTGTTTAAGGAACTGCATCCAAAGTATTCTAATCACAATTCACTGCTGTAGTACATCACTACAAGATATTTGTAGTACATCACTACAAGATATTTTGATTTAAAGTATAGTAATTTTAATGCATTTAGTATTTACTAGAGTGACATTACTAGTCAGCTCTTTTGAAGGATTGTTCAGTTTAAGCCAGGTTTAAGAAAAATATATACAAAGGTTTTCTCACATGTTGATCTTGAACAATTTTTATTTCAGAGCTCGTTAGATTATGATAACGAAATATATGTGAATAGTTTCAGCACTGAGAATTCATTTTTGTAAATAAAAAATCTAAATGTTTACATTTTTTCTCAAGAGTAAAATATTTAATAAAAGGTTTATTATTATTTATTGAATTAAATGAAACCAGGTTTCTATGGATTTATATTCAAAATTTAAGTGTTTAATTAAGCCTGGTCTTGTGAGTGCTGTTTTATTTTTTAGTAAAACAGTAATCATAGTAATGAGTAAGTTTTGTTTTTAGTTCCTTTCTAAACCCAGTGAAAATGTTTGAAATCACTTTGCAATAATTATAGAGAAGTAATCTCTAGTAGATAATTTACTGCCTTCTATGAGACAGGATTTTAGAGGAAATCAATATTAGGCTGATTAATTAAAAAACATGCACATATATATATATATATATATATATAATTTATTTCTTAAACAATATTGATTAATTGATTATATTATCTCCTAAGTTTAATTAAAGTAGAATTATTTTAAAAGAGTGAATCCATACTAGTAAGTTATATTTTGAAAGATGTTTTGAAGTAACTTGAAAGTAATGTTAATAATGTTTTAACGGGGACTGGAATTAAATCATCATGAAGAACAAAATTTCAATGGTAAAAGGAAAAATTAAATTAAAAGCATGTAATTATTGTCTTTGATCGGAAATTAGTTGACTTTTCAAGGGGAATAAACCAACTCCCGTTCAATGAACAATAATTAATAAATAAATATGTAAATACGAAGGTGTTTTGTCTTTACTTGAGTAATAAGGTTAAGCGAAACTGGCAATTCTAGTCAAGCCAAATATTTCCACGAATAGAAGGGTTTATGAACCATTGTTGATACTCAAAGAACTTATTCCTATGAAGCATTTAAGCCAATTCAATTTTATAAAGTATGTGTTATGTATAAGTATTTATTCGACATTTTATTTTTAAAATATCAATAGTTTTTTTTTTTCCTTTTATATTTTGGTTTTGTTTTCAAGCACCATGAAGATAACTTTTCATGAAGATAATAACAATACCAAATTGATTGTTTTGTTGTATGCCATTGTTGATTTCAGTAACTAATAGGCTTCATTTTATGTTCACTTAGTTTGCCATCTCAACAACTGCAAGAAATAAGAAAAAAATATATTGTTACGGATTTTGTATTTAATTTGGTATTTTTTGGAGAATTATGATTAAAATTGTTTTATATCCCCATGCAATGCAGCACGGGACTTATTTGAAGAGAAAACTATGGCGGAAAAATTAAATACAGCAGCATGCGCTTTTAATAAATAGATATCTAGTAATTGTACTCTTTTGCGTTCCAGAAAAATCGAGAAATTATGAGGACAATCTCATGACAGATTAAAAAGCTTATAAAAGCTGGAGGGAAACATCTCAATTAAACTGTTTAAAAAATTTTTGTTGTTTACTGTAGCTAATTCGCTAATTTTATTCACTTTTCATCATTATTCTGCATTCAATTCATTGTGAACCTGTATGCATGCAACAAAATATATATAAAAAGAGTACTCCAACAGAGGTGCAAATGTACAAATGGCAACCGCTAATTAAAACATAAGCTTTAAATTTTCAAAACTGTGATTAACTATTTATTTTTTGGAAAAAGCAATACATTATTTTTAAGTACCACTTGTTTTTCAACTATCAGTATAAATGTAATTCAGAGAAAAAGTCTTTGCAAAAGTATTGTTGTTAAAGCTGGTGAATTTTTGACCAGTTACAGGAAATCAACGAAAGAAGATAATGTGAAATCTTCACTAAATAAAAGGAAAACTCTCCACGTTTCATACCAATTCAGTGCAGTTCGATATGGCCTCCATTTTTTGCCCTACACATACCTAAATGATATTCAAGTTCTTCCCACATATGGTTAAGACTGTCTGGTGTAACAGAGTGAATAACATCTGTGATTTTCTGTTTAAAATGATTAATGTCATGTATATGTTCACTGTACACATGGTGCTACAAGTAAAAGGCTAATGGTAAAAGTGAAACAAAAATGAGCCTACCACTTCATCATTCATCAGGCTACACCACATGTTTACCTTAGAGATGTTACATTCATACTAAAGCGTAGGCACGAGGATTTTCAGCAGACTATGCTCAGACATTATAGCGATGAACATGTCTACAGACATGAAATGTCGCCTCATCACTAAACACAATCTTCTGCAGAGATCTTTCAACATTATCAATCTCGTAAAGCAAATTTGTAGGAAATGCAAATCATTTGGGTCTATCCGCCAGTTTGATAGTGTGTAACAAACAGCTGCAATTTGTAACCGTAAAAACAGTAGCTGTTTCTTTAACACCTTATGAACTGTAGTCTTGCTTAGGTGTAATTGTTGAGCACACACACATAGATTTTTTAGGGCTCTTAGGTGGCTTTCCTTTATAGCTTCTATAGACTCACCACTTACTGATGGCATACCAGAATGGAGTTTGTCCAACAAACTACCATTATCCTTCAACTGTGTATCCCATCGATTAATGTTATTCCTATGTGGTGGTGCTTCATTGTACATGTGACGATATTCATGTTGCACTTTGGTCATGGATTTAAATTTAGCAAGCCACAAAACACACTGAAATTTTCTCTGCACTGTCTACATCTTGCCTGGTGTAGGCATGTGCTTATCCACTACTGCACAGTTGTGGTCTTACATCATCACCTGTGTGTGCTATAAAAACTTGGAGAATTTTCCTTGTATTTGGTGAAGATTTAATGTTTCTATTTTATTTTGTTGCTTTCCTGTGACCTGTCAAAAGTTCACTGTGACAAACACATTGTATAATACAAATTAAGGAAATTTATTTTTCAATAATTTTGTGAATTTTGGACAATAATATTTGCTACAGCGTGCGTTTTGCATTTAATTTGCTACAGCATGAGGAGCATGCTTCCTACTGTTGTTTTTATTCTACAGGGGTCATATAAATTTAAATTTTGCTTTTTAATAAATCTGTCAGTCCTCCTCTCCAGTTTTGATATTATTCTATTAAAAATCTCTGTCTGCTTATTTTTCTTTATAACTGGTAATTATGCTGAGAATCATTAGTTAAATAATAAGCCCTCAGCAGTAATAAGCCTGCTTTATGAGGATAAATACATCATATGGATTATTTATTATTATTTGGAAGGGTGACCATCAGAAAGAATGCAAGAAATTATATTTGTTTAGAGGCATTTGTATAAACAAATTACAGTCAAAAGTCGTTAATCCGGACTCGTCGGGACTTCGGCAATTCCGGATTATCGATTTTTCCGGATTATAGATCATCAGTTTAAATCTGGTAAAATGGCATGTAGAAATTATAAAATTAAAAATATGAAACCGTAATTTACGAAACAAAGAACAATTATGATCTAAAGGGTATCAAAATTTACAAAAAAAAAAAAAAAAAAAAAGCTTAATATTTATTTGTTTACTTTATTAAACATTTCTTTCAATGTAAGTTGTTTTAAGTTGCTTCGTTTTTTATGTGATAATACATTCTCTTTAATTCTATAAACAGACATAATTTCTTGTTCAGTTACAAAGTTCCGCTGTTCAAGTCCTATAATTGCTGTGTCGAGAATACCGACTAATGTGTCAATCGAAATTTTTTCATTTTCAGTAACCTCTGTCACTTTCTTCGCTATCGGAAGCGAATTATAATGACGAGGAATTTGATTTAAATCATATTACAGACGGAGTACATAGAGATGAAATACTACATTTAGTAAGGAATTATAAGCCAAATAAAATAGAAACATCTGCCCTGAAGATAAGGATAGTGCTGAAATATCAACTTCCAATTCATTGCGCGCCGGCCGGCCGCCGCATTAAAGATAAACAAAGTTTAGATACACAAACGTTAAAGTTTAGATAAAGAAAGGATATGCCTTTATCCATTTTTTGCAGCAATTCCACTTTTTGTTTAATGGACTTTGAAACATACTTTCGCTTTGTAGATCCTTTATATATTAGTAAATATATATCAGAAATTCTATTTGACATAATCGAAAGTTCAAGCTTACTTTTATAAAATTGCTCTAACAATTTGCAAAAAATAATAAGCCGAATCCAATTCGAAGATTAAGGAACAACACAACTGAATGCAACATTAACTGAAATAGATAATTAGATAATTTTAGCTTAGCTTATACCGTCCGTTATACATTAAACGCACATTCGTAAGCGTATTTTGCACACACGCACACACAAATTCGCAGCCGTAAAAGTCTTAAGCGCATGCGTCAACGCGACGCATGCGCAGAAAGTTTGTAGCTTTGAGGTCCGGATTATAGATCATTCTGGATTATGGGTGTCTCAATTAATGACTTTTGACTGTACCTAAATGCTGTATTAATTAAGTCTTTGCTGTAAGTATGCATATTTATAAATTTGGGGAGAAAAAAAAAAAAAAAAAAAAAAAAAAAAAAAAAAAAAAAAAAAGAAAGCAAGAAAAATGGAATGTTTTAAAACTTTATTTGAATTTCAGCAGTTTGTATCTTAAATTCATCTTTATATATTGGCATCTTTTTTTTTTCTTTTTCTTTTTTCTTTTTTTTTTTCAGTTTTTGGACTCCTGAAGAAGATGATCATTTAATAAACATTGTTAATTTATTACGAATTGACAATTACATCCCATGGAGTAAAGGTAAGTGGGAAAAAATATCTAAACTGCCCTCTGAAATGTTTCTGAGGCTGTTAGTGTAAGCACAATTAAATTAGTGAACTAATGATATTATCAGAAGAACACTAATTTTATGTTTTTTTTAAATCTTGCTTAATGTCAAATTTATGAAGCTTTTTTTTTTTTAAATCTTACTTATTTAATGTTTAATGCTTCAGTTTAAAATTTATTCAATTTTTTTCTATTTTATGTTATCTTTTTTTTCCTTTTTTGTTGTCTTTGTTTTTTACTGTACATGTCACTTGCCTGAGAAGTATGGCAATCATGTCGTTAATAACATATCACTTCTTGATAGAATGATAATGCTAGAAAAGTCTTGCTAACTCATTGTAGAATCAACCATCTGAAATTGTTTTTGCAGGGTTCGTACGGTCCTTAGGAGTCCTTAAAAGTCCTTAGTTTTGACCAAACTCAGCAGAAGGTCCTTAATTTTAATCAGCAGAAATTTCTTTCTGTTTTTATAACTGCCATTTTGAGTGTGAATTGGCATGCTGGGGGAATATTTTTGGCGATTCACTGACATATATGGTTATTCTTTGAATGGGTTCATGGGTTATAATTTGTTTCTATTTTTAATATAAATTATGTTTGCTTGTTCGAGTTTCTAAGCAAGAAGTGAAACATAAGCATTTTGAAATTCATTTTTTCTAATAAAGAGCTTTTAAACAACTTTTCGCTCTTGGGATGTGAATTCTTTTATTAAACGGTTCTAAATTTGGCGACTTATCAATATTTTGGCGATTTTAAGATCAGTTTCTATAAAAAAATTTTAATTCCGAGATCTGAGAATTTTTCGAAGATTTTTTAAAAAATATTTATATATTATATATATATATATATTTTTTAAAACATCATATATATATATTATACATACAATATATTATCATTATATATAAGTATATTTAAAAAATAACATTAAAATAAAAAATCATTTTTATTTTTCTCTGTCATATAAAGTTTCATTTTTTCAACTTATTATACAATATTTTGAATCTGAAAAATAAACAAGGTATAATGCTGTAAAGCACAATTTATGAAACAGCTCTTAGCAAAGGCAAAATTAGCTTTGTAATTAATTAAAAATATCTTTTTTTTCAATTTTTTCATAGTAAGAGTTTTGGCTAAAGGGCAGAATCGCCCACTTATTTGTTTGGTGCTCTTTACAAAAGTAAGAAGAATTGGATTTTTGTTAATTTTCTTTGACTTCTTAAGCGAAAATAGGTTGATGTGTACATGGATTAAGTCAAGGAAGTGCGCAATGCCATTTTTGTGCAATTCTGGGATGTTGTTTTAAGTGAAAATAGGTCGATGTGTACAAGGATACTGAGTATGTGCAATTCTTAAAAACGTGCCAAGCAGCGGGCGATTCTGCACTTTCTCCAGATTTTTTCCCATGTAATTGTCTCAGAATATTCAAAATTCTCAGAATATGCATCAGTTTTCTCTATAAAATTGATTTTACAATTTTTCCCCTCCTTTTTTTTCCAAAATATTTTTGGCTTTTTGCTGTTACAGAATTGGTAGAGATAATTTTTCTTTAGGATTTCAGACATTGCAGCTTGGAAAATTTAGAAGGATTTGAAGGCAAGATTTATAGACCCACGATTCTAGAAGAATCGAGAAATATGTGACAAAATGAAAAATGTCTCCATTGTATCAACACGTAATGGATGTTGTTTGGGTCTCGTCCCAAATAACACTAAATAAATTTGCTGGTTCGATTCTTTATTAATTCTCATAATTAATTACAATTAACTCATAGCTGTGACCAGCCCTCTTACACCGTTGATGGCGATTCTCAAACTCGTCTGATCATCACATTACAGATGCGCATGCGTGGATTACATTACAGATGCGCAGGCGCGAACATGCCGCCCCGCGTTGCAATGCTTAGCATTCAGCTATTGTAATTAAGATATAGCATAAAAAAATTAAACAAGTATATCATAAACAATTTTGAATAAGTACTATTACATAAAAATCATTATTATAATTAGACATTTACCATATACGAGGGCTATCCAGAAAGTAGATTACGTTTTGGAATAAAAAAATAAACAAAGTATAGGAAACAAATTTTATTATATACAGATGAAAGCCACACTCAAATGCTACTTTTCTACATAGTCACCATACAAATTAAGGCATTTATCGTAGCGATGTACGAGCTTAGAAATTCCTTCGTCGAAAAATTCGGCCGCCTGCGCCTTCAATCACTTCGTTACCTCTTCTTGCCTTCCATCTTGCACAAAACTTGTGGTAACCAAGCTTTTCGCTGATGATTTCGTGCAACAAACTTCGCGAAATTTGTGGAAAACTCAAAGAAAGTTCCGTTATTGTGAAATTTCGATTTTCACGGACTTTAGCATCGACTTTTTCGAGAAGTTCGGCGGTCACTATGCTGGGTCTCCCACTTCGATCTTCGTCGTGAATATTGGTTCGGCCATTTTGAAATCTTATGACCCACTGACGCACTCCACCTTCAGTGATAATGTTGTCCCCATACATTTCATGAAGCTGCCGATAGATTTCTATCGGTTTACAGTTTTTTGCCATCAGAAACCTTATTACTGAGCGCACCTCGCAGCTCGCGGGATTTTCAATTAACGCAGACATTTCAAACCGTCACAGTATCTGAACGGAGCACAGCACGAACCTCTCACTAGCACGGCTAGATGCAGACTGAGCTGCGCAACGCTCTGACCCCAAGATGGCCGCGCTAGCCCCGCCCCTAGCGGACACAGACGGAAACGTAATCTACTTCCTGGATGGCCCTCGTACATTAGCGTACAACTCAAAGCAATACAATATAACATTTCAGTTACATAATGACATTTTATGTGAAGCACATTCAATACTGTACAATAACTATAAAGACAATACTCATTTTTGTATTGGTAAGACACATATTTTGGTAATTGGTCGTTTGAAAGTTTGTTTAATCTCTTTAATTCTGCATTTGCACCTACAAAATTCGTAGCGTTATCACTAAATAGTGTTAAACTTTTACCTCTTCGTGCAAAGAAACGTTTCAAGGTAGCTATTAATGCTTCAGATGTTAGGTCTGTTATCAGCTCTAAATGAATGGCCTTAGTAACCATACAAATGAATATACACACATAAACTTTTTGATATATACCTTTTCTCTGGTTTTTGTACTTAATTAAGAATGGGCCACAGAGGTCAACTCCAGTACAATTGAATGTAAGATTAGCTGTGATTCTTTCCTTGGGTAAATCACCCATGATTTGCTGAGCTACAATGGGATTAGCTTTAAAACATATTATACAATTTTTTACAATTTTTCTACAAACATTTCTACCACTTACAATCCAAAATTTTTGTCTTATATGATATAACAAAGATTGAGGACCCACATGCAAATATTTTAAATGATAGTAATTAACTATTAACTCTGTTAATTTATGTTTAGAAGGCAGAATAATAGGAAATTTTTTCTCATAAGTTAAATTGCTATTTTTTAATCTACCTCCAACTCTCAACAGTCCATTACTGTCAATGAAAGGGTTAAGACTTTTAATAGAACTATTTCTTGGAACAATACCTGATTTTTTAAGATCATTTATCTCATTTATAAAATACTCACCCTGTACTAATTTTATTAAAGTTTCTTCAGCTGCTCTCAATTCTCCCACTTGTAAATTACCTACCTGCTTTTGTTCTTGCTTACAATTCTTGTAAAACCTAAAACAAAAACTTATAATACGAATTAATTTTAAATACTTATTACTGCAATTCAATAAATCATTAACAAAATTTTCACATTCAGATTTAAACATGTAGATAGTTCAGAATCAGCAGTTTTTAAGTTCATTACTGTCCTTTTCAGTAATTGCTTCAGGTATAACTCTTATAGGGTACTCATCCTTCATTAAGAAGTCAGGCCCGTTCCACCACAGTTGACTTAGTTGCAGTTTTTTGGCAGACATACCTCTAGATATGAGATCTGATGGGTTTTCTTCAGAAGCGATATGATGCCACTGTGCTATTTCAGTCAGATCCTGTATCTTTGAAATCCGGTTTGCGACAAATGTCTTGAGCAGGTGTGGCTCTTTGTTGATCCATGACAGCACAATCATAGAATCGGTCCAAAGGTGGATAGCAGTAAGCTCCAATTTTAACGATGATTTCACGATGATTCAGTTTAGCTAATAGCACTGCAAAGCTCAAGTCTTGGGATTGTAGTCTTCTTTAGGAGTGAGACACGCGATTTACTGCATACCAACCTCACTGATGTATGGTTTGTTGCTGATGTTGCTTTACAGTAGATAACTGCTCCATAGGCGGCCTCTGAGGCATCACAGAAACCATGTAATTCAATCTTGATTCTATCCGGTAATAAAATACATCTAGGGACTTCAATGTTGTTAATTAGCTGCAAGGTAGTGGAGAATTCTTTCCATTCTTTAGCCTCCTTTTCTGGCAAAACATCATTCCAGTTCAATTTTAACAGCCATAATTTCTGCATAAATATTTTTGCTACAATTATAACTGGAGAAATTATACCCAATGGGTCAAAGATGCGAGATATGACGGATAACACTTGCCGTTTCGTAACCTTTACGTTGTCTTCGATTTTAACGTTGAAGCTCAAACAATCTCCTTTTGACTTCCATAAAATACCTAATGCTTTAGATTCTTCTGATTTACCAAAGGGATATGTTTTGTCGTTTGTTTGACACAGTTCAGTAGCATTACTACACCACTTATGGAGTAACATGCCTCCACTCTTCAAAATGCCTATTAACTGATTTTGAAGTTCTAACGCAGAACTTAGCGACTCAGCTCCAGATAGAATATCGTCCATGTACATGTCTTCTCTCAGTACAGGTGCTGCTAAAGGAAATTTATCTCCTTCGTCCTTTGACAGCTGTACAAGTGTTCTCATTGCTAAAAATGGTGCACTCACAGTTCCATAGGTAACGGTGGTTAGCTCAAAGTTT